AACAACTCTGAGCTATTAGTTAAGTTCTCCCCAAACGAGCTTGATGGGCCGAATGGCCTCCTCTCGTTTGTAAATTTCTTATGTTCTCCTCGTATTATCGTGGGGTTTCCTCCTGGTTCCTTGGTTTCCCCCCACGGTCCAAAATCTTGCTGAGGTTAATTGGAGTTGCCAAATTCCCCATTAGCATGAATGGTTTCTGTGCCCTGTGATGGATTGGTGCCCCATCCTGGGCCATTCCCATACAATGTTTATCAATCCACTGGGTCCTAAATCTGGACCCAAGGCGATAAGTATGAATTAATGTGACTGTGATGTCCATTTTAACTGTGGTCAGTCTGTCTGCATACAGATGCGACAACTTGTTTCAGTTTGCACAAGGGTGTATGTCAGAGTATAATGGATGCAAAGTGCAGCAGTATGAGTGACGTGGGGGTCCTACACTGTACTGAAAAGTATGGGATTTGATTTTGGTGTTTTAATAACTATAGAGAGAGGAAAACATGGAATTATTTGTGTTTTCAGACTTGCAACAAAGTGGCCTACTATGTATTCTTAAACATGTATTTACTTGTACAGTCACTGATGTAAGCTAGTTATCAGTGCCAGAATGTACACAAGGAAAACATTGAACAGTAACATCCCAAACCGAGCAGTGTGGGTGTATCTGTGGGGTGCGCTCTTGATTAATCTCCAGCAAGAGATACTGATGGAGATTGCCTTGTAATTTACAACCCAGTGGGGAAATGCAAGTTTTCATCTGCTTGGATTGGCAGTCCCAAATATTGCAACTGGTTGGCTAAGGATCCCAGATTTACCATGGACACCCCTTGGTACAGTCAGGAAATATGTGGAATATTAAAATGGAAAGTGAGTAGGAACCCTGGTAATACTCAAGACCTTATAGCAGGGTTGGGTAGTATCTATTTTGTTCACGCTATCATACCGTCCAGACATTTTGGCATAGAAAAACAGACTTCACTCCTAGTTCTACAGTTGTCATTGTGCTGGACCACAATAGAGGAATCAGTCAAGTAAACATAAAGAGGCGGACTTTGTTTCAACGCGGTTTTAATGGAATCAGACGCATTTTGGCGTGTTACCTTCCTCAGTGTTAGAGAAGTCGTCATTATATTTTTTATTTAAATACATCAGTACCAAACGGCATGAATGATGACTTCTCTTTAACCTGTTTTCTTTTAATGTTTCATTTGTTTTACAGATTATCATTGCTTTGTTATACCTTTCACTTAATCTACTGTTACACCATGTTTTGGGGGTGTGGCCTAGTGATGCTCATTACACCTGTTGTGTGATCATTGGTCGTTTCACAGGGAAGTGTCTGTTTTAAACGGGAAATGTACATGGTGTGTAGCATGCTGAGGCAGGCAACATTTACCACGGTATATGGTATTTTGATGGCATTTCCAAAATCAGGGCTCTTCCAGTGTTTTGAAATCTTGCCGATTTAAGATGCGCTATGCGCGTGTGCCACCTGGTGAAATTTATTGTGGGGGGGAGGTGGTGCTGTCAGGCACTCGGTGTAAGTCGCCAATATTTCAAAATACCGCGGCACACCCTATTACCGTAATACCAGCCAAGCCTACCGTACCGTCTACACCAGTGTTTCTCAACCCAGTCCTCAGCGAACCCCAGCCAGTCCACGTTTTTGCTCCCTCCCAGCTCCCAGCCAATTAGGAACACCGAATAGCTGGTACAGGTGCGCTGGGAGCTGAGAGGAAGCAAAAACGTGGACTGGCTGGGGTCCGCTGAGGACTGGGTTGAGAAACACTGGTCTACACAGAGCGGATGTGCGAGTAGCAGCACACCTGCCCATTGGTTAATGTCCTGAAACATGACCTCTGCAGCAGCAGTCAAAGCAGGAAGTTCACACCTGAATTTGCGTCCGGTGCCTGTGGCTCCCTATGACAGATGTGATGAATGCGTTCATCCTTCACCCCTTTTCCCCCTGTTTTGTCCTGGCCTCCAGGGCTCCGTGTATGTCCAGGATGAGGAGACCCTGATTCTTCGAGCCCCTAAAGACTCCTTCAGCATGAAAAGCAGCGAGAGGGGAGTCGGCCAGAACATGCACAAGTTCACTTTCACGCAAGTAAGGCAGTTTCAGGGCTTGCATGCTCTGGAGGGCTGGCAGAACGGCGTGCTCATCTGGGGCGGCCGAAGAGTGGTCGCGCATCCTGCAGAATTAACGCCACGTGCGCAGGTCACGGCACTGGGAGAAGACGAGCTGATAACCTCTGACGCTGTTGCAGATTTCTGCTCCTAATACGACGCAGCAGGAGTTTTACGAGCGCACCATGAAGGACACCGTCCGGGACGTCCTGCGTGGAGAGAACAGGCTGCTGTACACGTACGGCGTCACTAACTCTGGGAAGACCTACACCATTCAGGGTGAGACATAGAGCGCACTATATCTCACGGCACCTGTGCTCATTAAAATCTAAAAACGTCTTTAAGTTGATTTCCATAATTTGTTAGGTTTTATGAGCTATAACATTCTGCCATGTTGCTTAAAGACTAATTTGAGTGATTGTGCATTGTGCCTATCCGGCCAGAGTGGAGCTCAATTTATTAAATTGCTTCATTGTGGATTTTTGTGGGTTCGTGTTCCTTACCTCCCTTCTGCTTACCTTGCGTTCTTATTGTTGAAGAAGAATTTTGATCCCAGGATTTCCCTCTGGGATCAATAAATTCAATTTTAATCTTAAGTGGGGAAACAGGCCATTAAATGCTAATTTGACAAAAAGGCCGAAAAGTACTGAGATTGTGTTTGGCACCAACCAGCAATCGCTTTGAGGCTGGGTGCAGAAATTGGTTAACAGACATCCTGACTGGATGTGGTGGGTTCATGCTGATGAAGCTTCAGCAGCACCTACAGCCTGCTAGCTGTCAGAGACGTGCAGACTGCACACGCGGGACCTCATGATGGATCTGCACCAGCTGCTGCTCGGTGTTTGCAGCTCCTGCTGGACCTCAGATGAAGGGCAGCAAAGCAGTAACTCTGAAGGCTGCAGTTCTGGGGGTCTCGATCTCATAAGTCATCTCCAGGCATATAATCCCAGTGAGGTCCACTCGGGTTCTGTAAGCGAGTTCCCCAATTCAGTGTGTGCCAAATCATTCACCTGAGGCAGAGCGCAAACTACAATCCTATTGAGCTGTTATCACCACATTCATTAAAATGCAGCCGACATTGAAAGTGTCTGTTTAATTTCTGAACCAATCAAAAAGGGACATGCTTCACTTTGAGTGTGTTCTGCTTTGGAATGTTCTATTGTTGAGGCCTTAAAGGTACAGTTGTCCCCGTCCCGTATCCGTGGATAGCAAAAACTGCAGATAATAGCAAACATCTGTGAACCCCGTATATAACATGATTTTTATGTAATTATGTATGGTCATTATAAATTGCGCACAGTAACACATTACCAATATGAAATACAGTAATAAGCACATTGTACATTATTATACAGTACAGTATTCTCTCCATCAAAAGGAATTCTGATGTTTTGAGCCCAATTCTCAGAAGATGATAGAGCAATGAGAAAATATCATCTATCAAGGGATGATGGAGCAAAGAAAATCATATACGCTTTTTTCAGACAATGGTAAACCATGTATTGAGGGGGACTACCGCATTAAAAAGAACAATTTAATTAAAAATAACCCTGTATGGCTTGCCGACCTGTTTGTGTCTGTGTTGATTGTGAAATCTGTTGCCAGTTGAGGTCTGCCCACCTTTAACTTCCATCGTCACACATGCCTGCCGTTGCTGCTCAGGCACGGGACTGGAGGCGGGTCTGCTTCCCCGAGCGCTGGTGTCCATCTTCGGCAAGCTGCAGGGTCGTCTCTACGGCGCCATGGACCTGAAGCCTGTCCTGTGTCAGGAGGTGCGCTGGCTGGACAGCAGCGAGGTGCGGGCTGAGGAGATACGCAGAGACTCCCTGCTGAAAGAGGTATGGTGGATCTGGGGGGGGATGGATGTTGGGGTCCATGGAGATAACCATTCAAATTGTAGAGGAGGTGGGTCCAAGCAACTAGAGGAGGGGACCAACCAATCACATGTATTGGTCCCATCTCTGCTAGTTGCTTGGACCCACCTCCTCTGCAATTTGATTGGTTCAGAGAGAGTCAATCATTGTTCCTTCTGCCCTGTTATGTAAGCAAAACTCCCTCGTGCCTGGAGGAACATAGAGTGGCAGTTGCATGACTTGTTAACATGGAAACCCTACAAAATCAGCTAGTTTGCTGAAGAAATGACTAGGTAACAAGCTAGCAAAAGCAATGAAAGAAGGAGAGTGTGCAGGGGAACATTATCTATGTGAAAGCATGGGATGTTTCTCTGTCGATGATCTGACACATTTGTGTAACAGAAGTTTTAATACCCAGTCCCAGACTTGCCGCAAATTCAAGATCGAAGAGAGTCTCTTTGCTCCTTCCACTTACAGGAGGAAGGAGCGACTCCCCAGCAGTCCCGTCTCCGAGGAGGCGTCAGCTACGACAGCGGCTTCGGCGGCGCCTCATCTATCAGCTTCACGGCCACCCAGCTGGAGGGTGAGGAAGCGTAAGGCGCTGCGGGTCGGGGCCGAGCAATAAGAGTCCTGCTGACCCTTCAGCCGTGTCCCGTCCTGCAGACTCGGACAGCGTGTGCCTGGACGTGGACAGCCTGTCCCACAGCGGCGGGTCCGACCTGGAGGAGGGGGTCCAGTTTTCGATATGGGTGTCATTCTTCGAGATCTACAACGAGTTTCTGTACGACCTGTTGGAATCGCCGACGCTGCAGTCCAGGAAAAGGGGCACGCTGCGGCTGAGTGACGATCGTCACGGAAACCCCTACGTCAAGGGTAAGCCGCCTGCCACACGGGGGCGCTCTAACATACCTTTCCAACTCCACAGTCATATCTGAACCTTTGCTTGTTTTTTTTTTGGCCACGCCCAGATCTCACCTGGGTCCAGGTGCGCAGTGCCGAGGAGGCCTGGAAGCTTCTGAGGGTTGGCCGTCGAAGCCAGAGCTTTGCCAGCACCCACCTGAACCATAGTTCCAGCCGCAGGTGAGCCGACCGGCTCCATGGCCGTGAGTCCCTGCTGAGCTCCTGGGAGAAGGATATGGGTCTCGAAGGCTCTCTCTCTGCCCGTTTTCTAGCCACAGCATCTTCTCCATCCGCATCCTGCACATCCACCCCGAGATGCAGCTGGGGAAGGGTACCCGGATCAGCGAGTGAGTCACCCCTGATACCACGCCCCTTTTCATTGGCTCCACCCCCTTTCCTTGGCTCCACCCCCTCCTTGCTGAGCTCAAGCTGAAGCCTTCCCACTGTCCTCCCCTATCTGCCCCAGGCTGACGGTGTGCGACTTGGCTGGCTCCGAGCGCTGCAAGGACCAGAGCAGCGGCGAGCGGATGAAGGAGGCCAACAACATCAACACGTCGCTGCACACGCTGGGCCGCTGCATCTCTGCCCTGCGGCACAACCAGTCCAACAAGTATGTAGCTGTGGGTACTCTGTCAACCACATGTCGTCATAGGTGTCGTCTGAAAAACAGGACCCCCCATATTGTGTCCTCCCCCCGGTTACAGGTCTCGGCCTCCACTGGTGGTGCCGTTCAGGGACAGCAAGCTGACGCGGGTGCTGCAGGGCTTCTTCTGTGGCCGCGGGCACTCCTGCATGGTGGTCAACATCAACCCCTGCGCCTCCACCTACGATGAGACACTGCAGGCCCTCAAGTTCTCAGCCATCGCCACGCAGCTGGTCCATGGGCCGGCCACCAAGACGCGCGTGGCCTACATCCAGGCCCTGCTGCGTGAGCATGCCATGCGGGCGGGCAACACCACGCTAGAGGAGGGGGAGGAAGACGAATGCAGTGAGGATGAGGAGGGCGACATCACCATGTTTGATTCAGAGGTCAGTCCTCCCTGCCAGCAGGGGGCGCAATGCAGGGTGCCCACTGAACTAGATGCCAACTCATCACAGGGCGATGGCACACATCTCCCTAAGGGCAATTCAGAGATACCTTTGGACTGGTGGGGGGGGGATTGAGCATGCGACACAGGGAGAACATGCAAGCTCCAAAGGGCAGATGAACCAGAGGGATTTGAACCCCCGTACATCCTTCACCCCTTTCCCCCTGTTTTGTCCAGGCCACCATGCCCCACCCCCCTCCACGACTTCCTGTGGGTGGGTAAACATACTTTCTGTCTTTCCACATCTCTCATATGGGATCATTCCATCTCCTCCAGGCACTGCTGCGGGCCATCGAGGTGCTGAAGGCGGAGGTGTACAGACAGAGGAGGGAGAAGGAGGAGCTGGAGGCCACCGTGAGAGAGCAGGTCTGCAGCGAGATGATGGAGGTCATCATTCGCATGGAGAAGGACTTCAGGTGTGCAGGAAGGAGCAGGGTTAGCGTTAATGTGGCCCCGAGCGCGACCTAGGCGCAGTGATCCCATCCCTAACCTCCTCCCGTCCCCCTCCACAGCGAGACGCTGGAGACGGAGAGAGCCCTCATGGAGGAGAAGTACGAGGAGAAAGTCAGCAACCTCCAGACAAGCCTGAAGCAGTTCTACACTGAGGAGATAGAGGTGAGAGACCACACTCCACAGTGACATCCGTAACCGAGAGCACATGCAGGCAGATACGTGACTCGGCTTCTCCTTAGTTGCACAGGCAGGAGAGGGGCAGCTGCAGTGAGTCAGAGCGAAATGAGTGTGACCGCGGTAACGGGCCCTTCATAAGCCCGTCCTGTCAGGCGGGAGAGGGGCAGCTGCAGTGAGTCAGAGCGAATGAGTGTGACCGGGTAACGGGCCCTCCATAACACCGTTATCTCAGGACCGTGATGAGCAGATCGAGGTCCTGACCGCGGCGCTACGGCAGAGCCAGGCAGCAGCCTCTGGCGAAAGGGAGCAGCCGGTCTGGCAGGACGGCCCTCGACGCTCGCAGCGCCTGGCTGCCTCTTCCTCCACTTCTTCCTCATCATCAGCAGTCGGCGAGCTGAGTAAGGTGCGAGCAGAGCTGGATCTGTGCCAGGCACAGCTGCTGGAGAAATCCCAGGGTGAGTGGACTGGCCATCTTGGAATTCAGCTGCTGTATAGTGATGTGTAGGTACAGCTAAAGATGGGGGGGGTGGGGCATAAAATTAGCTTCACTGCTGTCATACTGCTGCTGAGTCATTTTGAACATGCTGGAATATTTGGATCTATGTTACAGTGCCGCCATTCATAGCTGAAGGTCTAAGTATTTCTGATGGTACTTTACAGGACAAGTGGTTTGCCTGGGAACCGCCCATGGCAGCCTGTTACATACAGGACAGGAAATCATATCTGTCCTGCTGCTTTTTCATTACTGCCAACACACCGTGATGTTTCTGGGCTTGTTTGCTGATGTCGGGGGGAAATAAAAACAAAGCAGGCTTTTCTATCCTGATCTTTCTGCCTGGAAGAGTGGATGAGAGCGCAGACATGTTTTACCCTTTTTATGAAGCGTCGTGTCTAAGACGAGCTTCAGTAACGCATCTCGCTGAAGACCTGGCCTCCCTGACACTGCTGTCCCACACAGAACTAAGACGTCACCAGGCCCTGCTCAGCCTGCCCGCCCCGACAGGCACCCTGACGGCCACCGTGGACCGCAAGCTGCAGGACGGACAGAAGGTGCGTATCCTGCCCTCCGCACCTGCGTACCCCTCTGCCCAGGAAGTGGACGTGCTCTGAAATGTGCCCTCTTCCCCAGAGCCTGAGGCAGCTGCGCGTGGACCTGCAGCGGCTGGGGCTGGACCTGCAGTCGGCGGAGAGGGCCTGTTGCCGGCACACCGGTGCGGAGAGGCTGCGTCACGTGCTGGCTGCCGCAGACGACACGCTGGCCAAGCAGGTAATGCGGCAGGCAATGCGAGAGCCACTGCGTCGCAGGTCTGGGGCTCAGATTAGGCAGTGAGGAAGCTTTAAAAGTGGGATGAAAATCGGCGACGGGGGAGCGGTGTTACCTACAGTGTTAATGGTCTTGTTCTGTTTATTTTCTCTCCCTTACTCTCACTATGTGTAACCTGCCCCCTGACTCTGCCTGGTGTAAATGACCTCAGTAATGGAGCAGGACAGAATCTCCATCAGACTGATTCTGACCTTCCCTCCTCTACCTCTGCCGTTGCTATTTAACACCCTTCTTTTCGTCACTAAACCGCTGCCCCTCTTCTGCCCCCCACCCACTCCGATTCTGCCTTGCTCACCCCCCAGTGCCAGGCCATGGCTGACCTCCAGAACAGCCTGCTCCTGGTGAAGATAGACCTGCGCAAGAAGACGGACAGCCTGGCGGAGATGCAGGCCCGGCTGCCCCCGACTCCCCCTGTGGTCCCCAGCCCGGGCTCCTGTAAGAAGCGAGGCTGCGGGGGCGCCGGACCCGACTGCGAGAACCAGCGGCCGGGCAAGCGGGCCCTGTTCCACTCCCTGTTCACCGGACGTACCCAGCCACCCCGAACCCCCACCTCCAAGGCCACGCCCTATTCCCGAGTCCTGCGACTGCGCCAGCACTCCCCCCCGACCGGCCGCTCCCCCCAAAACGCAAACCGGCGCTTCGTTTAACATTACCGCCCCCTTCTGGTCGTCCATGCTTAAACACCTATTGGCAGATGGTGGATTCTGGGTTTTTTTTCTTATCTGATTACAAAGTCCAAAGGAATATTACATGCATCCATCTGCCCTTTCGTGTGTTTAGTGTATATACCCTTAAAACCTGTTTACTATGCAGACCTCAGGTTTTCATTGTATTAACCAAAGGCAAACCGTATCCAGCATAAGGGAAGGTCTTTAGCATTTTCTTCTTTTTTTTTTTTGCCAAGGCAACCATCTGTTCATGTGTTGAAAACGGATCCGGCGTTCTACAGAACAAGTACCTTACTGAACTTTTCTGGCCTTTATCTGCGCAAACACTAATGATCTTGCAGGTCCTTTAATTTGCTGAAGTAAGCCTCTGCAGCCTTTTGCGAGTCCCCTGGGGCCTTCTAAAGATTTGTATGTATGTTAAGCACATACAAGATCATTTTCCTGAGTCCTACACAAAGAGCGGTAGTAATTCTTTTTGCGTGGCTCCCCAAAGCAGGACTGAAAATTGCTGGCAGGATCACGGGTTTTGACTAATGTTCCATAACCAGCGAATAAATCTATGCTATGATTTCCTTTACAGGTAAGTCTTAAGTATAACAGCCTGTTTGTCCATTTAAGTACACTCCGCGCTACAAGTACAGACACTTTTAAATAATAGATGCCCCAAGAATCTGGGACCAGTGTGGCCAGTTCAGCAGGGATTGTAAGAGACAGACGATGTACTTTTTAATGGCATTCTGTAAGAAAGAGGAGAGCGAGTATTCATCAGGGCTGTGGGTTGATGCAGTAGGATTTCCTAGCTTCTACAAAGCAATACTACTAGACTGTTACAACAGGAAAATATGTGTATGTATTTCCCATGTCCATCTATTAATCTTTTCCAGATCATGGTTTGTCATGGAAGTGTGTTACTTGGATACAGAGTTGGTTGATGAATGTTTGTGTGTTAATTTTTTTATGTAACGTGCAATTGTAGGCTGCCTTTCAGCATTATATCCAATCATTCATATGCATGTGGTCATCTTGCTTACTTGTGCAATATGCATGTAAAATACTCCGATCTCTGCCATTGTTTATCATAAAATCTGTGAAGCTGGTGGCGTTGCATGTAGTCGTTTCTTTATGACGCAAACGGGCACGTCTGCACCGTGTCCGAAGGCGTGAAGAACGTCTTGAGGACACCGAATCTTTCACTGATTTGGACGTGGCCTCCTCCCGCCCGTCCACACGCACCAGGAGGAGTCCGTATGGGTGCTTAAAAGGCGTAACGCGGACTGATAAGCCCCGTGCTCGAGCTGAGTGCTGCGATCGTGGCCATGTCTGAAATGGACCGGAAAGTGGAACTTCCTGACCACATCACCACTTCATTCCCAGGAGAAATGGAGTCGGCCCATTTAATTATTAGTGTCCCTCTTTTTCAGAGTAAAACATCCCTCCATCCATCTAACTTGCTTATCCTGGCCAGGGGGCCCTGGAGCAAATCGCAAGCTACACTGGGCAAAAAGCTGGTGTAAGTCTGGGAGGGATGCCAGTCCATCACAGGGCACACACACGCACAAAAAAAAGTATAGTATATAAACAATTTAGAGGCACCGATTAGATTAAATGCACGTCATCAGACTGAAAGGGAACCCATGTGACAGGGAAAAAAAAACGCAAATTCTACACACATTAGAAGCTGGACTCAAGCCCCCAACATAGGAGGTGAGAGGCGACAGGATTACCACACCGCCCCTCAGACTAAACCAATGAGATTTTAATTAGTTGTTCTATCTCAATGGATACATTTACCAGCCATTGAGAATCAATAGGTCCCAGTCATGCTTAGTGAACAATCATAAAGAATGGCGTAAACACCCTGCCCCAGTGCCCTCCCCTAGGGTGTAACGGGCGTATGCCAGCATTGGCGACGATATCTGGATGATGGCCCATCTTCCTATTTTCACTGTCCATCAGCTTTCGGGAGCACAGACAGTTTAGAGCTGGCAAAAAAAGAGGCACGTGTTTGTTTTCTGTGAGGGAGAGAGGAGGTTCAGCGTCAAACGACCCGGTCTGTACCCTGAGATGCATAACTCCATACATAGTGAGCATATCAGAATTACAAACAGACTATAGCCACTCATCCTTTCTGACAGGTTCCTTTGTTTTTCTGAGGGATTTTTGAGTGGCTTTCTTGTCCTGTGTTGTCCAATTTGGTAACTAGACTTAACATTTTAACATGTTATGACAGCAGAATTTGCTCTGATTCTAGCCTATAAAAAAAGCTGCCTTTGCTGGTCAGATCAGCGAATTAGTGCTGCAAAATTGACACGTCATGTTTATCGTCACCTACAGATGGCAGTATTTACTCACGTTATATTACTTATTTACACACAGTTGCATTTATTCAGCGTCAGCGAGTAATTAATTCTTTCTCAGTAAGGAGATCGTTTTATTTTCTACTTGATATTAAACACTTTCTGTGAAAAATTAATGATGTTCAGAGATCAAATTTTGTCAAACTCTCCTCAATCTAATCTAAATTTAAATCACGCCAGACATTAGTGGCACAACAAGCCTTCCTGGACTTTTGTAGGCTTATATAATAATGATGATGGTGATGTTAGGAGATGTCAGTTTCAGTTTTGCATGACCGCAAATACGATCGGAATAACAACAGAAAGCGACCCTCTCGGGGCGAGTGGTGGTTTATGGTCTGTGGATGTGAAACTGACCTCCTGTGTGAACTCCGCCCTCTCCTGGGAGTTTGGGGGCAGGAGTAACTGCCCACACCTGGGTCCATTGTTGATTGATGGGTGGGGGGCCAGCAGGAGCACGCGATGCCAGCGTAGAGGAGCGGCCGCGCTTCTCAACGGGCAACTCGGACGCGCTCAAACGCCGCGAGGGCCGGCACGCGCCGGCACCGAGCCTCAGCCGCGTGAGTAAATCTTCCGGTTAGGACCAAACAAAAGCAAAAAAAAGCGATTTTATTGCAGGTTTTGTATTTTAAAATGTGGGTATAAAAACATGCTGAGGCTAGCCCTGTAGGGTTTATAGGATCCGTGAGATACATAACATTCCAAACCACTGGGGCAAGAAATACAAGATATTAATACAGATATTAGGTGCCATACAGGTATGTTATATATCACACAGACAGTGGCAGCATTTTCTTTGTAGCAAAGCCAATTCGGAGAGGAGGCAGAAGGAAATAGGAAGCAAAGAGAGGGGCTTAAAGGGCCATTCGCGGTGTGTGTGTGTGTAAGTTTAAGCCTGTAAACCATTTAATGCCACTTCCTTACTCATCAAGCTCTGCAGACATGTTTGAATACCCGATTAGATGAGAGCCGCGCTAATGTACGATACGCATTGACATTAGGCAGGGAACACACTAATCAAATCATTACCAGTCTATACAGGGACTGTGGAGCCATGTGTAAATGCACATCAGCAAATCTCTATTAGTGTGGAGATGTACTATGTGTGTGTCTGTGTAAAAGTACTATATCTGAACTGGTGCATAGATGGACATTACAACATCCCTATTACTGTGTAAATGTGCATCGCTACATGTGTATTAGTATGTAGAAATATTGATACTTTATCGTGTTTTTGTACATAACTACATCTGTATTGGTGTGTAGATGTATATTATGGCATTTTTATTAGAAGGTAGATGTTCTGTATTATATGTGTTGTCTGTGTACATTTATATTCTTCTATCAGTATTAGTGTAAAGATGCACATTCCAACATCTGTACCGGTGTGTAGATGCACAGTACTACATGTGTATCTGTGTTGAATTACATTTCTCCATCAGTATTCATGTGGAGATGTACATCACTACATCTGTATTATATCACACATTAACCGTGCTGCTGGAAGCCCACAAAATTGCTAGCAATTTTCCCAAATTTGATATCTTAATTTCCAGCTAAATAGATACCAGAAAAATTAAGAACACAATATTTATGCCATGTCTGGTTGTCTACACTGGACACACCTGTGCGGCAAATGCTGCTTTTTGTCCCCCTCTGCTTTTTCTCTTCGCTGTCTCTAACCCGCCCAGCCCCCTCCCCAATCCACTCTAAAATTGTGAAGCAGTTTTATTGGAATGACAAGGTTATTAAGTATAGCCGGAGAGTTTACAATGAGTGCGGCAGGATGGTTGAATGAGCAGGATGAAGGAAGCACAGTAAGACATTACAGGTTATAAAGAGTGCCCCCCCTCTAGTGCGTTCTCACCCCACACCCCCCCAAAGAAACAATCCATAAACACACACACACACACACAGACAAGCACGAAGCCGCAGTCTCGGTGCTGCACAGGTAACTGCCGTGTGGGGGTTGCTGAGGTAGACTCATTTATTACTGCTGTGCAATTAATAAGGACACATCCCATTAATGCACATCTCTCCTGGCGTCTATGTTTCTTTTCCCTGCTCTATCCTTCTCTAGCTCCCTCCCTCGCTCTCTCTCTCGGCCTCTTGCACATTCTTTCCTACTCTGAGAAGCATTAACCACAGGGCCCCTAAGCTGTACACACTGAGATACCCTCTCCTGTGATCAGCACTCTCTTCTCCATTACCATCCCTTGCTTTTCCTCACATCCCCTATGTCTCACTTTCTCTCTTTCTCTGGCTGTTTCGCTCCCACTCTCTCCACTTAATCCCCCTCTTTTCCCTATTGTCAATATGTATATCTATCTACGGATCAGTCTATCAGCCATACGGTGGGTGGGGGCTTGTGTGTGCGTGTGTATGTGTGTGTGTGTGTGTGTGTGTGTGTGTATGTACGTGTGCCAGTGTGCAGACACATTTCAGCGTGCCCAGTGTCATTTTGACGTCAGGCTCTGAATTGAGGACAGAAAGCGTTCGGGCTGCACTGATCAGACCCCCCCCCCACCTGGGTACCGCACTGATGGGAGACCTCACTCCATATCACACAGCCGTGCAAGGAAGAATAGGCCCCCTCTGAAAGTGTGAAGTCAACCTCAAGCACTTAGCAACTGTTATGACATCCGTCAGTAAGATACATTTTGATTACCAAACCCTTCAATGCAAATTGTCAAATTTGATGCCTTAAACCGTTCTCTTCATTGCCAGATTAGTGAAGCCAAACTTCATCTCCATTCTCCAACCTGCCATCCCCCCCCACCCCGCTTGTGACGTAATGTCTCACCCCTTCACCCCCGTCTATCTCCTAACACTCCCCAATCCCAAGGGATGTTAACCAATTTCCCAAAGTGCTGAACCCGCCCTTCCCCACCCTCCACATGCCCTCTTCCCAAGCCGAGACAGACCCTCAGTCATTAAAACACACCAATGAACACTTTGTGACAGAGCATCGCCACAGCAACCGCCTGCAACAACTACCCTCGTCACCATGTGACTTGCACATCTTTGTGTGCCAGACGGAGGTAGAGAAAGGGCCCCCCCCCCCTCCTAGCCTGTGGCAGCGTATGTATGTGTCTAAAGTGCTTTTGGTGCTGTATATGGGAAATCTGTTAGTCAACAAAGGAAAAAGTTGCAGTAATCAGAGATTATTTGGTCCAATTCCGACAGGCAAAGGGTGTGACAGGATAACAGAAGGGAGCCGTCAGCCCGTGGACCAGACAGCCGGTTCTGATCCTCAGGAAAGGCGTGTACTGGATGCCTCTGTGAGCACTGTGAGGTCACAGCCCCATGTGCCCCCCTACTGGGAGTTGCACAAAAAGATGGGCTTGCTGTCGCTGATTGTCCAGGTCACATGACTGGAATGGCCTGGCAGTAGTCATAGAGCGGGGGCGTAGGGGAGCCTCTTTCATTGCCTCCTGACCCCAGGGGCTTTGGGAGGGATGGCAGGATGGGATCGCAAGAGGGGCAACTCTCCGGCGCCCCCTAGGGAATATTTACAGTAGATGTCAAGATACATCCTGGGAGGCTCATTTAGAAGTATGCAGAGCAGAGCATCTCCACAGCAGAAGAAACAGCAGCAGATATCTGAATGTGCTGGAGTTCAGACTTGCTTGTTAGTGATAACAGACTAAACACTCCTAAACTGCACTTAGCATTTAGCCTGGCGCTGCTTCCTCTTACACAATGAAAGTAAAGTTTTCTCCTCAGCTGTGACCCTCTGA